GCCAGCTCAGGTGCTCTGCGTGGAGGGAGAGGCACCACTGCCATGGGCGGGGGTGCTGGCAGGAGCTTTGGCGGCTTCATCTCAGCCACAGCGTTGGGCGGCAAATCCGGCAGTGCTGTTGGAGGAGGAGGCGGCAGCAGATATTCTGGTGGCGGTGGGGGCTTTGGGGGTTCACTTCAGCCGCAGAGCCGGGCGCAAGTGGCTAGGATTGGCCGCCCACAAAGGACCTCCCCGGGCTTGCTTTGCTGAACACGGGGTGACTGATGCTAGTTTGAGTGGCCGCAGCCGGCGCAAACTACCGTCAGTCGCTCCGTGCTCATCAAAACAAGTCTGGGGAGGTCCTTTGCGGGCGGCCAGTTCTAGCCGCCTGCAAAGGACTTCTCTGCACTTGCTTTGCTGAACACGGGGCGACTGACAGTAATGAGTGGCACAGCCGGTGCCTAGGAGATCCTAGGAGACCGGCTGTGCTGTGTAAGCTCCTGCTGCTGTCCCCGCGCCCGTGCTAACCCTAGATTTTCTGAGGCCCCCTCAGCTTCCGGAGCCTATGACAGAAATCACTGCGCGCAGTTAGAAACGGCTGCGGGGTGTTTTCTTGCCATATGCGCGGCCGCGCACCTTAGAGGGAACAGTGTTGTTGAGACCAAAACAACTGAGCTGTGTCAGTGAAAAGGAAAAGAGTGAACAGGACCGAAGTTAACATTTTAGCAAGGTTCTGTTGCAGTGTGGCCAGCCTGTGCATTAAGTGAATGAAGTGATTTAAATACCTGTTAGTATCTTTGTACAATACTTCTGCATCACGCCTATTATTTCTGCTCCGTACTTCTCTAATTTGTCTTCTGTGACACCATCAATCTGAAGCAAAACTGCTGGATCTGAAGACAAAGTCTCTGGAAAAAAAAATCTCAATACAACTTTCTTGGCATCAACAACACCAAACTGTCTTCTCATTCTTGTCTTCCAAGAAATTATTTTTAACTTCCCAGTTTAGGCTACAGCATGGAGATCTCAATTTCAAGTCTAACCAACCAACCAACCAATCCTGCTTAGCTTTTCTGAGATCAGCCAAGACCTGCTAGATGTTGGCCACCTGCTGTAAATGGCTCCCTGTTGACATCATGGAACATCCTTGTTACTCTGCTACAATGCAGAAAAACCTTGCCATCTCTGCCTTCAGGCATGTGATTTGACTTTCCAACACCCTGTCAGGACTCGGTGACATTGACTGATTTTTCATTAAGAGCATTATGAGGAGTTAACAAAGAAATTGGGTATCCAAACTGTCGAAAAAGTCAAATATCTAGGTATACATTTATCTGTGAGGTGTGTGTCCATCAAAGAAGACAACTATACTAATTTGATCAATAAAACTAAGAAAGACNTTTTAAACATTTTCTAATGGTGGTGTGCCTCGTGATTTTTTTCATGAAAAAAGTGTGCCTTTGCACAAAAAAGGTTGAAAAACACTGTCCTAGGCGACCCTGGGACCCCGCCCCCCTCCTCTGCCAGAGACCCCTGCTGTTTCCTGGGAAGGTGGAAGAGGAGCAGGGGCTGCAGGGGGGGGGGGAGGCAGAACCCTTCCCCAGGCTGTTGTCAGCCTCCAACAGGTCCCCCCACCCTGCTCCTTCCACTGGACCCTTTCCCTGACCACCCGCTGCCTCCAGCCCCTCCCCCCAAGACTGGTGACCAGCGGCAAGCTCCCTCGCTCACAGGGCTGCTGCTGATGGCTGCCAATACAACTTAACAGATGTTAATCTCCACCAATTAAATGTCTCCCGTCTCCCTGGCATTCATCTCATATTTAGCGAATTCGTATCCACAACTCAAAAGCTTTCTTATGCAGCAGCTCACAAGAAGTAACTTAATTGAAATGCTTTATTTATGTACAAGCAAGTAATGAAACATGAGTACTTAATATAAAAGTCAATGAAAAATGTATTACTTTTATGCTGAATAACATTTATAAAAATGAAAATAACTTCTAAGGGCGTCACAAAAGCACGTAAGAAGGTTTAAGGTATTGTCTGCTCTGCGGCTGTGGTGGTGCCATGATTCCCGGCCTCTTGCCAGCTCCTGGTTGTCCAGGAAAAACACAGGAAGTAGAACTTCTAGAATTGGCAGATGTGCTTTTGCAGGCTTTGTAGCTCCTAGGAAGAGAGAAGAACTATTATTAGACACTCTTTTATTTCAAGAAACCACATGGGCTTCTGCCACAGAGTTCAAAAGGCCATTTGCACATGGAGAAAGGAAACATAGTGACACCAGCAGAGACACTTCCTGAGTATGGAAAGTCAAAGTTTCATTCTCATAACCTTTGCTGAAGCTTAAGTGCTCAGGTGGTATTTATATTTGTGTGGCTGTTACAAGGGGGGGGGGGGGGGAGAGGGACTGCCAGTCACAGGCCATGCTAAAAAATTCCAAAGTTACTGTCGATGTCGGAATTCAACCCGCTAGTGGATAGTGGATATCTCCAAGGATGAAATAGTTAAAAGGTGCTTCATTAGCACCATCTCACAGTTTTATTCAACCTGTATGAAGAATTGGAAAACATACCTCTTAGAATAAGCCTGCTGTCTCCCAGATCCTTTTTTTTTCTTCGATTCTCTAAAAAAATGAGACTTCTTCCTCTTCCTTCCCTTGCCATTTTTGGTTTGGAAATAGCTGGACGTTGTACATGTTGCTTCTCCTTCCTCACTTTCAATGTCACATCTGCTAACATCAGTCTCTGTAGCTGCGAGAGACTTGTTTTCCGCTGTGGGGAGAAACCCAACTTCCTTAACCCCATTCCTCTTTCTTACTTCAGACAGAGTTTTTGCCTTAGGAGTCCCCTTGGCCCCATGACTGCCACTGAAATACTTGTTGAGCAATGTTCCCTCCAATTTTTTTTCAGTGTGAGCAGCAAAGTATAGTGTTTGAGTGGCATATTTTCATGCCTGAGCACCTGAATTTTT